GGGGAAGGCGCCCGCAAGTAAGCGCGATTTAAGGAGTCGGAGGCGGCGAACCTCAGCGCTCGGTCCGTTCCTCGTCGCGGCAGGTGGAGCAGCTTCGGGGGCAGCGGCTCATTTTCACCTCCTTTGTTTCCCAGTTGATCTCGGGGTTATGCTTTTGAGCCAGGAGTACCCGAGTATCAAGTCCTGTTTCCCAAGGTGGGTTACAGCCAGCTGAACGCGTTCGGAGTGTCCGTTGTATCGTAGGACCAGGTCCGCGATTTGGCGAATAGACCCAGCATCATTGGGGGTGCCGTCGACATTGTAGACCGGTATGGGTACTGAGAGATTTCGGACTGGCACGTTGTTTCGGTTGACGTATTCTGTGTCGATAAAGTCCGGGTGGCTCCGCAGTCGACCAGACCCGAGAGGGAGAGCTTGAGCGCGTTCGCGGTGGACTCAAGTTCAAGGGGGAGGTGCAGCGAGTTAACGCCAGGAGCGGCAGAGATGGTATAACTGCCAGGTAGCTTTTTCTCCCAGGCAAGTCGGCGTATCCGAACGGGGGCTTCGGAGGGGGCAGGGGGTGCGTCTTTCGTTTCAGGCTCGTTGTAAGGCAAGGGAGTTGATTCATCATACAAACAAGTGAAACGATTTATGGACGCGAACGAGGGCACACCAGTCACTCGTCGCGGGGACAAAATCCTCTGCCGGAGCCTCCGAATGCGCTTCTGCTAAGGCCGCGGTGTCGGACAACCGCGCAAGTAGCTCTCCTAGCATCTCATCGCCAAGTTGCTGGATCACCTCGTCGAGGATGTCCATATGGCGAACATCGGCGGGGAGCAGACAGTCCCGAGCCAGGTGATTGGGGTCGCCGCATCTGAAGCAGGCTCGACGAGGGGCCCCCGAGCCCTAGTACGATCCAACTCCATAGGGACGGGAGCCGGAGGTACCGGGACGGGGCGCGGGCCGCGGGTGGCGCAGGTGCGGCCACCGGGCGGATGGGGAACGGAGTTGCCGAACGAGTGATGGGGAAGGCGCCGCGGGAGCTCCCGGCGGTCCGCGGGGTAGCCGTTCCCTTAATGAGCTTCGCTCGCACCAGGGCTTCATATTGTCGGAAAGCCCGAGTGCGCCAGCCTAGATAGTCACGGAGGTCTGGGGGTCGTTCGAAGAGGTGATGCCGTTGTTGATCAAGGGGTCAAGTCCGTGGCGGTACTTGGTTACCTTAACCAACGCGTCTTCGAAGCCAGCGAGGTCCATCAAGTCCTCGAAGTCGTCGGTATATCCGTAGACATCCCGCGTTCCCATGTGATAACCCGCGCTTTCCAACTTAGCGAGCGCGAGGTCCTGTTCGTTCTCTCCTCGACGAACCGAAGGCGAAACTCGGAGAGGAACTGGCTCCACCGAGGGAAGGGGAAGGGGTTTTTGCTCCCATGACGCTCTGCCCATTGCTGAGCAGGTCCCTCCGCCATATAGGACATGGCGTAGCGGACGGCCTTTTCTTCGCTCGGCTCTCCGTTAACTACGAAGGCCTCCGGGGCAAGCCGAGCGTAGGTTTTGACCGCGTATAGGAAGGCGCGGCCGCGTTTGCGATCTCCGTTAAACGCAAACGGGGGGTTTGGTCGTAAGACCAGTTTTGAGGCGACAGTAATGTCACCAAATAACGCATCCGCGTCGGGGGCATTCGGAGATGCCGGCGGCGGTTCGGGAGCTGCCGGAGGTGGTGCGGCAGCGGAAGCCTGGGAAGCAAGGTGGGTGAGGAGATTGGTGAGGTTGTCTAGTTTCGCCTCAAGTGCGTCCATGCGCGTCAGCGTCCGGAGCAGCTCCGGTAGACATAGCGGGCGTAAAGACGACAAGAGCAGAGGAGGAGGGGTCAAGTGGCAGGGGCGGTGACGAGGGGGGTACGGACTCGTACTCCGAGCCTGAGTCAGCACCAAACCTGGCAATCTTGACCGGTTAATCCCGTAGAGAGTTTCTTCTGCTGTAAGGGCAACCCTGGAGACTCCGACGAAAGCCTAGCAGGGGAGGATCCAAAGCGTGAATAAAAGCTACGGGAAATACACGGAGGGACCGACCTAGCAGGGGAGGATCCAAAGAGAAGAAACTCTAAGGGTCCGCCTGCTAGGGTGCCAACTATATACTGGTCGTCCGTAACTGCCGACGTAGCGCAGAAGGCCTGAGCGGCGTCGCAGGCTCTGTCCCAAGGTGATCGTTGGGAGGGTCTTGACGGATCGGTGATTGTGCGGGCGAAGGAGGCCGTGGACGATGGTCGGGGTGGGTCGGAGCGTCCGAGGGGGCGCCGGTCGGATGCGCCTCGGATGCGTTCGGAGGGTCCGAAGGAGGCCGAAGCGGGGGTTCCCCTGACAAAACCATAAAACAAGGGGTTTCCAGCCAGGCTGTTTATAAACATATAAAACAGGGGTGTTTATAAACCGGTTTACAAACACCCCTATATAAACCAAGCCCTAGCCGGCACAGCGGGCACTCGTCCCGCTCGTCGTCAATACGCCGGCACGCGCGCTGGCTGAGCTACAGTTCCATGTGCGGCTCGCCGGCGCTTCCGTGCAGCCCGCTGCCGCGGGCGGGCTATGGCGCTGGGTTCGACCCGGGGTTGGCTGATGCAGAGGACGATGGCAGCGATGCGGGGCCCTTCTTGCCGCCGATGGCGCTGATGACAATGCGGACGCGCATACTGCGGTATATCTCCCTCTTGTGAGCCTTACTAGTAGCGGGTGCTGACCTGCGCTTGGACCAGGACCATTAATCTTTCAAGCAGCGCGTTTGACCGCGCCTCGTCTTTCTTCCCCATGCCCATGACCTTCGCCACTCTCCGACGTCTTTGCTTTCTGTCTCACATTCCAGCCCGACCTCCATACATCCCTGCACAGCAGCCCCCGCCAAACGCGCGTGACAGCGCATCCCTTCGTCAGATCGCCTCCGCTCTCTGGCGAGTATCCGAAGAAACAGGCTCACAGGAAGGGACACAGGATTCCTCCTAAATGTGCGTCGCGTGAACATCGGCGCCATTCTACATCGCCGCCGTCCGGCTGCCGGTGCTCTCGATAACGCTCTGAGCGTACGTCGGCAGGCATGGAGGTGGGATGGGGATCCGGGCAGTCTGGACTCTGCAGGGACTGGACCCGGGCCAGCGCAGCATTCGGGTCCACCAGATCCGAGGACGCGATAGCGTGAGCTGTCGGCGTTCCGCGTTTAGCGGCCAGCAGGCCTCCGGTGGCGCCATCGTCGTCCGCAACAATCGACTGGTAATAGGCATCATACTGCTGGTGGGATTGGGCAGGCACCCAACCTGTCAACGTTGCTTCGAAGTTCGCAGGCTCCCCACATGAAATTCAGAGTTAGAACTCCATGTAACTACCGAAAATTCCACAATAGTATTTACTGTCATTGATCAATTGCAGCATTCAGGTTTTCCAGTAGAGCCAACTTGAAGTTAGCGCCATGCACAGTGATGCACTGCCGGAATGTTGGCGCTGCGCCATGGAATATTGGCGCAGCAACATCTGATACTAGCGCTTCAGTCATGTCATGCTGGCGCTGCTGTTCCGTCGTACTGACGCTGCTGTGACGCCGCATTGGCGCTGCACGTCACACACTTGACGCTGCATGTCACAAATCTGGCGCTGCAGGGTGACATGTAAGTCACACTTTGGCGCTGCAGCGTGACAATTGCATGAAGTCAAAAAAAATTAGGATTGGAATAAATAAGCTCCCAAGATCCCTACTGTACTAATACATGTAGCCCAGATGAAATTTTACGGAAATCTTCAGCCCTTTGCACAGAAAATAACATCTAAGTCAACTCCAAACACTCGGTATCGGTTGATTATTAGACGATTTTTTACCCAATTATTGATAAAACACCTCACATTACTGGCACTCATATATATGTTTGTCTCCAGCATTCCCCTAAGGCAAAAGAACTCCGATCTCACAAGTTGTTCACTGGTTTTTGTTCTATCAGTTCATATTGATGTGTGTGTGAAAAAATGTGTCACGACTTTGGCGCTTCAGATGTCACAGTGTGGCGCTTCCAGCGTGACAAATTGGCGCTTCCAGGGGCGAAGCGCCAATTTCTGGTGGCCCGGGCGTGGCCAAACGGCGTGGGCCTGCGCCAACGGGCGTGCACGCCCGTGATGGCGTGGGCGTGGCGTGGGCGGGCGTGGGACCGTCCGCGGAGACTATCCCCAGTCCTATGACGGCGACCGCGACGCCTTCATCACTGTTATGTGGCGGTCACTTGTCCGCGACACCACGGCTCCAATGAGAACACATCAAAATGTGCTGATCGTCGTCAGCCACGGTGCCAAGACATCTTGGCGAAACTCACTCTTGCCTGTAGTGGACGTTGCCAAGTGTGAATCAGGCCACGGAGGCCAGGTTCAGCCTGTCTCGGAGTCAGCGCTCGTCGGCGAGCTAGCCACGCTGAGAGTGCTTGAGGCCCTCCTGCCCGCCCGTTCCTTCTCCGGGCGCGCCGGGCCGCCGGCGCCACGTTCGCGCTGGCGTTCAAGGTCGGAGGGCATCGTGTCGCTCCCCGGTGTCCTCACCCTCGCCATCGTCGTCTGCGGCGCTGGTTCTGTCGGTCGCGGTCGGGCACCGGACTTCGCGGGGGGCTGGTTGGCGTCGTGGACCATGTCACTCCGGTGGACCGCCAGCCCGCGGCGCATCTCGCCGCCCACTGATGATGGCGCCGTACGATGCTTCAGAGCTCTAAGACGAATCACATCTTGTTGTACATGGAAGCCCACGCCCGTTTGTCCAGCGTGCCAAGCGGGACAAACGGGCGTGCCAAGCCGACCGATGGGCGTGGCACGCCTGGTGGACGGGCGTGGGCTTTGATCGTCAGCCAAAACCCACGCCCACGCCCATCCACGCCCGTTGGCGCAGGCCCACGCCCATCGGGCACGCCCGAAAGTGAGCTCTCAAAAAAACAACTTCAACAGGGATTACATACAAATTCACAACGTGATTGTACTAAATCCAGGATTCATAACAACTTCCAATAGCCCCTAAACAGAGCATGCGCTGGCCTGGCGCGTCAACTGCACGACGCGCGCGTTGAGCTCAAGGTCCTGCGGGCTGACGTCGTTGTCGCCGAGGGTGCTGAATATGGAGTTCAGCAGACTGTCGATCTGCACCGCCTTGGCGTTGGCCTCGGCGAACTGGTCGACCGACACGGCGTCCGCGGCGTCGAGTGCAGCACGGATGATGCGGTTGAATCGCGCGCGGTTCGGGATGTCACGACGGAGCGGGTCCGGCTCGGCGTCGCCGATCGCACGAATCACGGCGGCCTGCTCGGAGACTGCCTGGATGGCGCTGACGAGGCCTGGCACGTTGCAGCCTGGGCCCTGTCGCGTTGCGACGAGGTTTGCGCTCGGGGCTGGGCGAACATTAATATCCGTTGCAGGAAAGGCGACGAAGGAAACGCACCGGCGAGACTACCCGATGCGACGAGCGCGCAGACGAGGAAGAGCGACTTCTTGAACATAAACATGGTAAAAGGGTGGTGGTGAAAAGAGACAAAAACGAGTAGAGCTTGAAGCGAGAAGATGAAAAGCAAAGCTTCAGGTACCGGGCACTGGCAAATTGCATGGGCTTATATATGGGACGCCAAGTGCTGTGAGAGGCTCCAGAAACCAACCAGAAACACACTAGGCACTTCCGTAACGTGTCGGGCTGCGGCAACCAGTGTAGCGCCGCGGGCTGTGGCTTCACAGCCGCGACAAATTTCAATCTCCCCGGGCCCCTATCTGAGGTCCGATTCCGATCGGCATGACACAGCGTGGATGACCATCAGACCAGGTTTCGCCTTCGGAGTCATGCACTGCCCGTGGTACTGAAGCAAGCTGAAAGAGCGAGGGAACGCACTGGGTCCACAGTAAGTACCTAGAAACCTGGCAGCTGCCGCAGAACATAAGTGATAATTCTGGTCAGGCAACGAATCTCGCTTTCGGGACATCATCTCGAAGGGGCAAAAACCAACAAGCGGCAGGTGCGCGGCTCTGCCCAACTTGTGTGGACAAGGCGGCAAAACTGTGTTGTAGTCAGTGGCATTTGAGTCGCATAGCATAAATAGATATACCTGCGCGATGAACTCACTCTGGCCTCCCCGTAGACCATTCCAGACACGTATTTCCCCTACGATCCTCCTTCTGCTCGCGTATTCCGCACGTGGCGTCGTGCTTTTCTGGCACGCCAGTGCCAACTGCACGGGCGGCTCGTCGGGACACACCACGCCTTCTCCGTGGATGAGTGCCTGTCGCTCTCCGGGACGGCGCGCAGCATTTTATGGGAGGGCTTCGACGGTGTTGAGGGCATACACGGCCTGCGCGCCTTCAAAACGGACAGTAGCCACAATAACGGACCGGGACTTCCATTTCCGCAGCCGAAACGCCTCCAGAGTCGATGCAAAAGCTGAACAAGCGGCAGGCACACCGGGCAGAGCGTCAGGGCTACCCGCAGGATCCAGCCCTACTACCGCTGGGAGGGCTGACGAGGGAGTCGCCCGGAGTCCAACCATTCGTCTCCTATACCATGCTCGTCATTGTCATGGAATGTACTGTAGTAACCTTCTCCGCTATTCACATGGTCGTTGATTTGGTGTCCCAGCACGCTAAGAGGGTCGAACTTGTGTAACATTGAGTGAGCCCTGCAAACATGAAAACATCGATGATGCACTTACTGCCACTGCCACTGCCACTCCCGGGGGCGAAGACGGCCGAAGTTGAGCCATGAGCGGTAGGTGCAAGATAGATGACCTATGTGTGTGTGTCGTTCGCAGGGGTCGTCGGAGCCATAGACACAGACACTCGAGTAAAAAAAGCAGGTCGTCGTTGCTTGAGAAAAGGAAGCAACGCGTGACAGACAGATCGTAATCAGATCCACTGGCGATCAATTGATCACTTCAAGCGTCGATTGGTCCCACTGGCAGCCCCAAATATTGATTTTAGCATTCGTTATAATGGTTGGAAGCTTAAGAGACGATAACGCGAAATCGAAACAGAGTCAGGCAGAAGCCAAGCATAAGTCTTGGCATAAGTAGTTGGAGGGTTTCGGTGCGATGACGTGAGACACCCACGTGCGGCATCAAATCAATGATTAGCGAGTCTGAGCAAGATGACGTGGCTGCTCTTGTCTCTCTCTTCCACTTTGTCCACTTGCCAGCCTCGTTCTGGCGCCTTCTCTCAGGGCCATTCGCCCGAGGTGCCCGCGAGAAGTGCTTCAAGAAGCATTTGACTGAACCAGGGCCTCCTGTGCGCGTGTCCGTCAAGTTTCGCCCTTATGGATGCACCCTCGACATGGAGTCTGTTTTGTCTGGACTGGCTTTCGCGGTGTAGTACGGGAACACACCCACCGCTCGGCAAGGGCTTGTGCGGTGCATCACGCAGGATCGTCGCGGCGCAGCCGTGGCCACACCGCCTTTGTGGAGTGCATGACCTCGTACATAAGACAGCGGCCAGCCTCTGTCGCTCTGCATTGACCTGGTGTCGTTCCATTTTCTTCGTTTCCTGCCTTTGTTCAGTCGTCTCTTTCTGCATTCCTCCGCTTTCCGCCCTGCAATTACCATGTTACACAAACGGCTTCTCCTTGTCTGCGCACTCGCTGCCTCCAGTGTACTCTCCGGTGAGTGTTTCCCCCACTCTTTACGGTGGCAGAAGCTGATGCTGCTCAGCACCGATATACGCGCGGCAGGATCTGACCGCCGCTGTCCAGCCAGAGGACTTTGTCGAGCCTGGCACTTCGGTAGCTGCGCCGGGCAACGTCGCTGCGACCGTACAACCAGAGGACTTCATCGAGCCTGATGTCGTCGCTGCTGTCCAGCCCGAGGACTTTGTTGAGCCCGACATTGTTGACGCCGTTGATACTACAGGCGAGGAGGAGATCATTGGGGAGGGCGACTCGATTCCCGACCCGGACGACGTCCTCGCCGTGGCGAAACAAGCCGCAGAGGACGCGGCAGCTGCGGCGGCCGCGGAGTTGCCTGATGAGGAAATCGTTGGGGAGGACGACTCGATAACCAAACCCGACGACCTCGCGGCCGAGGCGAAACAAGCTGCAGAGGACGCGGCCGCGGCGCTGGGCGATGAGGAAATCGTCGGGGAGGATGACTCAACAACCGACAATGACGATCTCTTGGCCGCGGAGGCGAAAAAAGCCGCAGAGGACGCAGCAGCCGCAGCGCAGGCCGCCCTTAACCCTCCGAAGGCAACATGTGACGTCCAAGGCCTCAGCAGCGCACTCGGCGCCGTCTCCGAGCAGGCCGGCGTGATCCGTGGGATCGGCACCTTCACCGGCCAGCCCGACCCCGTGCGGCGCACGTCCGAGAAGCGCGACAAGTTCGAGCAGCTGGTCGAGGCCGCCACCGACGCTGCTGCCGCTGTCAAAACCGGAAACTTTGCCCCCGCGAAGGTGAAGGTAACAGAGGTGGACCGCTTGCTGGAGGCGCTCGTCAGCGACGTGGTGGCTGCGGCGCAGTTGACCGATGCGGACCTGGAGATGCTCGCGCGCGTCGCGAATGCCGTAGACAAGGCAAGCGCGTGCTAACCTTGCTGGATTGGTTTGGCGTGTATTATTGGAGGCTTAATAGTGCATTCAATACATTGTTGTCTTAGCAATGAAGGTTCCAACCTCCAAGAATGTGCGCGCGCGTTGATACAGCATGTTTTTTCAATGACGGTTGACGCTTGTGAGCGATGCGCTTGCTCCAGGTGCCAAATATATTATGATAGTAGTAGTCTAATGTTCACATACTCATAATAGCCCCATCTATGATTGCAAGTATATCACTTATTTTGGGTGACATGAATTTAACTCAAGACATGTATATGTAGTACTAGACAGAGCTGGGGCTACGCCCCAGCTGTGAAAAATGCCACTAAATACAGAATAGCACACAGATGAAGCATGCCCAGTGGCCTTCTTAACTATCTGGCCTACTATTGTTCATATAGATTGCAACCCAAGGAAGTAAATTTTTATGTACTTATTTAGCAATTTGTCAGAAAATTAAAGTACGCTGTACACCATTAGATATTAGCATAGTAAGTAACCCATAAGATGTGTCCATGCTACTGGGGGCAAGGTCATGATGTCATATGCAGCTTTATATCCCAATGAGGATTGGTCACATTTTACAGCTTTTCTTATCAATTCAGGGCTTTAACAGCAGTGATCCCAAAAATAGAAGTGTGGGGCAAATGAATTGCTAAGGCCAGTGCCAAACATGTGCATACATTCACACAACATCTGCTTAATATAAGAGTAATTATGTACCCCGGGCCGATCTCCACGTCTTAGAACTCTGCTTCGCGGGAAGGCCGGAGTATCCTTGATTCGATCCGGATACGGATATAGAAGGGATGTTCTCTTGTTCGGTCGTTCAACAGGAAGTAGGCACGAACTCGGAACTTGAATCTGTCGAATAAGCCATTCCCCGGAAATGATTCGGTGACATACGGTTGCGGGAGCCACTGAAGTTGCTGGGCGGTATGCTGTTCAAAGTGAGCATAAATTCCCCGCACATAAGTTTTGGTTGAATTGATCGAGTTTGCCTATGGTCGTTCGAAATTTGAACACTTCAACAATTTTGTGAGAGAGTTCGAAATAGCCACGTTCGAAGATTGAAATCTGAGATGATGTAATCAAGCGCCACGTCCTTTCCATCCTCCCATCCTCCACCTTCCACCTTGCTGACACCCATGTTAGGGTGAATCAGAAGCACAGAGCAGGTGTTACTGTTGCCCCGAGGTGTTGTGGCTATCTTCTGCGGCGTTTCTGCCAGCGACTTAGCCTTCCAACTCTCTTTGCAGCGCTCCCTCTCCTCTCCCTCCTACCCACTACTGCAATTCGTCAGACTGCCATGGGATTAGGGGTCATACGCTTGGATTAAACCCCTACATAGTGCGTCCCTTTTGTTTTCTGTCACCAGTGGCTAAAATTCACTCAACAGTTTTATGTTCACATAGTATAGAATGCTTTTTCTCTTCTACCACTTCTCCATCGTCATTTCTGGACTATTAAACCATGCTGTGATTTCACGAAAAACACCCTGGATAATTCTCTCTTCTGCGGGGAAGACCTCGATGTTACCCGACTCCATCCCTTGAATCATGTCGCTGAGGCAAATGGCCGACAAGTCCAAGTCTACCAGCTTCTTGAGTGCATTTGGAATGGCTTCAATGCCCAGTGGCTTTTCGGGGTTGAGTAACTGCGGTGCAATCTTGGCCCACCATACATGCTGCCAGGCTGACAGGCATTTCTGATGGGTGGTACAAGTCCAGTTTGGGTCCTTCGGCATTTCCGGTGCCAATAAGGCAAGACCTTGACGCTCTACGAGGCGCTGCTCCAAGCCATGTGCAATGATGGTGTACGATCGGTAATCAAAAGCCGAAGTTCACATGTATGGTTGATGTCCTGGAGCCGGTGGCGGTTTGCGAAAAGCTCACAGACAATAGGGTCGATCCATTCAATGATGGTGAACATGCAAGCAAGCTCCAGCCTGCGAAAAACCGGTAGGTCTGCAATTCGCTCCAGATATATGATGACATAGTAGCGAGCTTGGTCGATTTGCCACAGCGATGCAAGCTTGAGAAGGTTTATATGAGAGCGCTCAGCTGCCTGGCAACCAGCATCGGGATGATCAGTTCCAAGACTTGACAAACAATAAGCCTTTCCATGATGAAGAAGAAACCCCAGACTCACTGTCGATAGATGTAGAATAGAAAATCCTCTATCTCTTGTGTTGTGATACCGTCAAGAAAGATCAGGTATGCTGCACTACCTTCACGGTCCTGATCAGCGATAGATTTGCCTGCTGGGAGCTCCAGAATGGCCTTCCAAACCGGTGAGAGCACACTCAAGAGACCAACCTGCACCGAGTAGACTGTAAATTTGACCTAAATGCCTTGAGTCAGTATGAAGACTATCAGTAATGGCGGAATACTTACACACAACACTACAGATGCGTCAGGAAACTCAAACTGTGGAGGCATTTTGTAAGGGCCATAGTAGTCCTTCCAAGGGCCTGTGTGGTCAGCCCAGGGTTCACCCTCAGAATAGTTGTTCAGAGCTTCCATAATCGTTAAGAGCAAGAAATTTTATAATGCTTCCGTGTGGTAACAAATAACTAGAGTATACGTTAGAAAGTGATTAGCTTTTTTGGATTCAACGACCACAATGTCTGACATATTTTCCCTGTCTCCGCTGCCTGGATCCTCAACAATTGGTGAAGTATGGACACCCAATGTCCAAAGCGCCTATCGTTCACTCAAGGAACATTACCAGCATGCCTGCAATATATGATACCACCTGTTAATCCCAATTATCTCTTCTAATTAGAATGGACCACCCATGCGGGTGACCATTCTAATTAGAAGAGATGATATAAAAAGCCCTATGCTGCAATAAAAGGGGCTATAAAACTGCAATAGCTCTGGGACCCCAGGCTCTAAGTCATTTTGTGCATTAAGGTCAGTGTGACATTTTGTGACTGGTAGATACTAAGGTATAGTAACTTAACAATAATCTTATATTGACCACTATAACCCATGTCCTGCCCTTTGTACAGGTTTACCCCAACAACAAGATTTGATACTGGTATGTGACATGACATCCAAGGTTTCTTGTATATCTCTATGTTATACTATATATATTGATGATCAATAGCTGGTTTCAACTCTGTATACTTGTGCTGTGTCATAGGAGGTCACAGGCATGACATATCTCCTAAAAAGGAATTTTTTGCGGTTCAACAGTGGAATCATCAGAGAATGTCACACATCATCACAAAATCGGAGTTGTGTCTTTTGACTATATAAACAACTTTCATTAAGAAACATATAGTGGCAGCTCAATAAATGTGTTAGCACTAACCCATCACTAATTCATATATAACTGATGGACCTCTATCTTCATAGCTGCTTGAGCTAAGAGTATGAATTGAGAACTAGCAGGAAGGGTCTCAAAAGGACCATTGATTGATCAGGTATTTTGATTACTATCATATGATAGGATTACCATATTAACTATTTAGTTATTGAAAAGAGCATATTTGGTACTTTACAGCTAATTGCAAAATAGTAGGCCAAATCGATTTCTCGTCACACTAGTCGGCTAGTCACGCATGACGCAGTGGACGACAATGCCAGCGATAATCCACACTTTTGCTCTACACCATGTCCAACTATCGCTACATTCACCCTGAGCGCAAGCGCGTCCTACCAGTTCTCAAACGGACCGTTCCTCGCAACCCCCATGTGGCCACTCTTGCTGGTATGGGTACTCGGACAGTGCGGCGCGCTTTGGAGAACGAGAGAAGATATGGGGATGTTATACCACCTCCCAAAGCCCAAGTTGGGCGGCCACGAGCAGCAACCAGCTTGGACGAGTTTGTGAGTCTGTTTCCGACACCGCTCACAGCACACTGACTTGAATACAGTATTTGGAATGCCTTATCGACCACAAACCCGACTCGATGCTTTCAGAGCTGCGCGATGGACTGTGGGAGGGTATGGGGATCGATTTGGACGAGTCTACCATCAGTCGGATGCTTCATCGTCGGGGTTTCACCTTCAAATCAGTGGGCCCAGGCACTTTTCAGGCTGTTGTCATTCTCAAACTGTGCTAGGTCTCGCGAACTGCAAGAGAACGAAATGAGGACAAGCGCAGCGAGTATCAGGCCCTTATTGGCGACCTCTACCCAGCAGAAACCCTCGTTTTTCTTGATGAGTCTCATTGCGATCGAAGGACCACACAGAGGAAAGGAGGTTGGGCACCAACAGGACAGAGAGCTCGACGTCGAGATTTCTTCATTCGGGGCAGCAAGTGCGTCATCAGGCTTCGTGCCATGCTCAGAACTCTTACATGTTTCAGATACTCCGTTTTGCCTGCTATTTCGCTAGACGGCGTTCTCTATCTTGATATTATCACTCGCTCGTGGACTGCCATCGAGTTTGAGCAGTATATTCGTGGCCTATTGGACCAGATGAACCCATACCCACAACCAAACTCAGTTCTCGTTATGGACAATGCCAGTAGCCATCACGCGGACAACCTACGTGATATCGTTGAGGCCCGGTCAGTCTCATCTCAAACCCGTAAACCTGGAGTGCTTATTCATGATCTTTAATTAGTGGTATGCGACTTGTCTACCTCCCACCCTACTCTCCCGACCTCAACCCCATCGAAGAAGGTTTCTCAGCAATGAAAGCATGGCTACGACGCAACAGAGACTACGCTCTCTTCGAGTTGACTGGCAATGGAAATGTAGATCCATTTGGAGTACTTTGGGAGGCTGTTTTCGATGCAATGACTCCGGAGAACATCTATGGATGGTACAAGGACTGCGGGTATGTTGTCTGAGTTGAAAATTTGATTGTTGTCTATGTACAGTAGTTGTAAGTATGTACGGTAAAATAAAGCGCTATTACAAGTAATTATACATTGTGTCGTCAAATTGGAGGAACGAATGACGGCTTAAACTTGGTTCTCGTTTTCCTTGTCTTCAATACGGCTCTTCTTTGCCTTACGCAGCGCTCTGTGTGCCC